TCTGAGCCCAAGCAGTGTGGTCAGGGGGCCTTTTCTCTAACCACTGCCCTGCACCTCCTAGAGCCCGCTCCCAAGTTCAGACCCAGGCCTAGGCTCTCCCTTGCCTGCCCCTTCACCTTTCTGCTCCTTCCCAAGAAAGCCTCCCCTCACTGATTCCCATCCAGAAAATCCACTGTAATCTCTGGATGTGACAGGCACCAGACCAAAGCCAGTGGGCACTCCAGGGATGGCAGTGGCTGTTGGCAGTGGCCTTGGCACACAGCTAATCTCCCCTCTCCCCTCGGAGGCGGCAGGGCTGTTTCCTTCCCTTCGGGTAGGAGAGCCACTGGGGGTAGACAGTGTTCCCGGCCTCCCTCCCCTCTCTATTTCAGGACTGAACTCCCGACGCATGGCCACCACCTTCACAGTTACCGGTTGCTTCTCTGGGGTTCGCTCCTCTGGTGCAGCTGATCCAAGCCAGTGGCTCCCAGGCCTCCTGGGGGACTGAGGACCTCCCGTGCAGCCGCCTGGCTTCCCCGCCACAGCACCAGGAGCCAGGTACACTTTACCTGATTAAGCTTCAGACAGAGGGGACACACCCAGAAGGGGAGGGAGGTGGGGGGCTCCTCTGATCTGGGATCAGCTCCTCGGAGGAGAGAGGGCCATCCCGGCCAGCTGTGATTGGCTGCCGGAGTCCAGGCAAGAGCCTAGGAGGAGCAAGACCCCATGCCTAGAAGAAGGCCAGGACGGGATGCCGCCTCTGTTCCAGGGGTCGGGGGAGCGCGGTGCCCTCTACAGTGGAAGCCTGGGCAGCAGGAGGGGTTTGGATCAGCGTGTAGGAAGTGCATCGTGAGTGTGCAGAGTGAGACCCAGGATCGCATGGGGTCTCTTTGTGGGAGAGATACTCGTGGTCAGGGGAGATGATGCCTCTGGAGTGGCTTTCATGACACCAGTTTGGGAGTCAGTTTGGGCACTGCCAGTCCTGGGCTGGATGGAGGAGGAGGGCTGCCAGGGCTCCTCAGGGACACAGATGCAGGGCCAGAGAGGGCTTTGTAGGGTGCAGAACCCAAAGCCAGGGCAGCAGGGGCCCCTGAGGGGACCCGGGCCACCATCCTTGGGGGTGAGCTGAGGAAACTGGAACCTAGATTCAATGATCTTCCCAGGGACATGTGAGGAGGGACCTCTGGAGAGACCAGCTCCATCTGCAGAGAACAGGAGGCTTGTGCTGGAAGCTAGGAGACCTGTGTCACAGCCTCCTGGCCTCCTCCCCCTCAACCCAGTTGGGTTCCATGCGACTTCCCTGCAGAAAGGAGCCTGAGGAGCCAATGTGGACCCCTCTCGGCAGCAGTGGGGAGACCCCGCTTCCCACCGCATAGATAGTAACATATTAAGAACAATAGGCATCTGCACCCACTGAGCATACTGCGTACCAGGCCTGTTGTACACCCGCGCACACACACAGGCAGACACACACACTTAGCCCTTATGGTCAGTCCCCTATGAGACAAGCCACTATTCCCACTTGTCAGCTGAGGAAAGGAAGGCAGCTTGAGCTGCCCAAGGTCACCCAGGGGGCGAGCCAGTATGGGGTCTTGGAGCCAGGCAGCCTGGCAGTGTCCAGCTTTCTGGCCGCCACGGCACAGTGCCCTGATGGGCTGGGATCGGTGCAGGGTCCAGGTGTGGGTCCATCCTGGGTCACGGCAGGACAGCCTGGAGAAAACCTCTGCTGCCCTTCTCACCCCCATTCCATCAGCCAGGAGCTGGGCACTGAGAGAGAGGATGTCAGCTCTGAAGGTCCCTAAGAGGTCACTTGGTTCCAGGGCACAAACCCGCATCATTAGTGCACAGCAGCTTCCAAATTCCCATCATGCATTGTGCCATTTCTACTCACTGTTTACACAGCATTTTTTACAGATGCTCACTTCCCCACCCCTTTTCATTTGCCCTTGTCAATTTTCACAAAATCATGGATGCACTAATTTTATTTTTTTTCTAATACACATTAAGATAATTACATAAATATTTCAGTGAACAGAATTCTTCTGGTTACTCCTCACTTATGTGACCCAAAATTCTGGAAGTCACAGGCCATGTTGATGGCCTCCTTGTCCATGTCTTGCAAGGCCCAGAGCAGAGGCTACATCTGAGGTCACCAAGGCTCCTGAACCCCAGCCTGGAGGCCTTATCCCAGGGCAGAGCTAATGAACTGGGAGCTGGTGGGGAACCTGAGTTGGCTCCTGCCCAGGGCCTCCTGGCAAGAACCAAAGCCCCAGGGGGGCAGTTCAGGACCGTGGCCTGGCTGGGACCGAGGGCCCAGCACCCACCTGGGTGAGCTCACATCGGTAGGGCCCAGCTAATGCCACTCACACGTTAGGAATTGGGGGCCCTGGAAGTTTTGAGAGAGGGAAGTGACACGATCAGATTAAACCAAGGTCTCTGGTGGTTCCTGACAAGAGCTGTGATATAGAAAGTGAGAAATGATAAAGGCTTTAGCTGGGGCAGTGAGAGGAAGGAGGAGAGAGAGAGCAGAGAACTACGTATTTGAAGATAAAGCTGGTGGGACCTGTGAGTGACTAGATGTGAGAGCTGCATCCAGAACTGTTGGCCTCCACGTTTCTGGCTTCAACATGTTGGTGAGTGGCAGGACAGTCAATTAAGATAAAAATATGAAAGGAACTGATTTGGGAGGCAGAGTAAATTTACAAGCGAGGAGAAGGATCAATGGTATCCAGTAGCAGCGAGGGCCAGAAAGGTTAAGAACCAAGGACATCCTCTGTGGCTGGCAGTTGCTGAACGGTCACCTTCACCAGGAACACGAGGTCAGCCTGCAGAGGGCACGGGGTGAGTGGCCAGGAACGGACAGCCAGATGGGGACAGGGGACTGCACCGTGTAGCCAGAGCTGGATGTGGAGTCCAGGGAGTGCTTCTGAGCACATTAATAGGTAAAGGGGTGGGAAACAGAGGTTGGGGGGGATGATGGAGGTCCTAAAGCCTGCCATGGGATGGGTGAGTTGGCTCTAAGCAGGGGAAACATGCTATCTCCAAGACCATAGCAAAATGGGTCAACGTGAGCATGAAGGAAGAAAAGTTTGCAGGCAAGGGTAAGGACATTAAAAGATCACACCTAACGTCCTCAATTTTCTTGAAGTACAGTAGTTTGCAAGATTCCCTAGAGTAAGGCAAAGGGGAACTACAGGAAGGTCACCTAAGGACCTCAAGAAAGAATGAATGGCCCTATGGGGGAGCGCTGTGAACCCACGATGGCAGAGGAGCCGGGCTGGCTGGTGCATGCAGATGGATGCCAGGAAGCAGAGTCGGTCTGAGTAAGGAAGCCGATGGGCTGCTGCCTCTCTCGTTCCCTTCCCTTTGCATGAGGCCTGAGTGCTGGCCTCTCACTGGGGAGGCCGATTCCAAGGCTCTGGCCACCAGGGCCAAATGCAACCAGCTGGTGGTTTTGATGAGAGACAAAGGATTTCTGACACAACACGGAAGCTCTGTTCATTTTCTACCAGATGGGACGCAGAATGCTACTTCTGATCATTTCCGTCACTAAAGGGGTCCTACTCTCTGTCCCAAATGAGCACCCAAGCAGCAACCTCTATGTGAGGGTGAGACATGGGAATGGGGGCTTGCCCTTCTTCATTATTCACCAATAGGAAACGAGCTGCTCTCTGGAATCCATGTCTGAAAATCAGGCTGTGTGTGTGTGCAGCTGGTACATATTCAGGCATTTGGTTACTGGTTGAATCTTCATGTAAGTTCACATTCATTCGCAATCTTTTATAAATTTTCACATACTGAGCTTATTTATAGTTGGGCTTCTTTGCAGTTAGCAGTCGCTTGCTTCCCCAAGCCTGACTGGATGTCTGCAGGGCTCCGCAGGTGTGGTTTCAGAGGGGAGCTCGGGCAGTGTCAGCCAAGCCTGAGGGTGAGTTTCTTGGCAAGTTAAGGTACCCTTCTGCCCACCTTTGGGGAGCGCTGCGTTCCTCTTCTTAAAATAAGCACATCTCTATCTTCAAGGGGTCCAACGGGAACTGCTTGGCTCTTGTAGTTGCTGAGAAAATGTGAGGGCAATGAACAGGCTGGACATGTAATCAATCAGTACCCGTCCCTCCATCCCAGCCTTACATTCATGACACACATTTCTCCTGTTAACCCCTGCCTCCCCAGAGACCTCAGGCCAGCTAAGCAAGCTCGCTCAGGATCCCACAGTCAGCTTGCTGCCCTCTCACCTGTGTCCCTTACCTGCCTTCAATGTCAATCCAGTATCTTTTCCTCCTAGAAACCCCATCTGCATGTTACCCCACTCCTGCCTCCTCTTAGTACTTATACCTGGTTCTGAACTCTGGCAAATCTTTGCAAATTAAAACCCCACCTCAAGTTCTCTTGCTTCCTCCCCGCTCAAGAACCCAGCAGGGGCTCAACACAAAGGTTCTCAGTATGTTCGTCTGGACAAATTGCAAGGACAGAAACCTCAACCCGATCCACCTGGTTCTGGAGATGCCTTGTTCCTCCCCCATCTTGGATCCTCCCCCAACCCCCTCTGCACTTCCTGGGATGGAGCTGGACTGGGGATGGGTTCTGGGATGCTGTTTTCTTGTTTGCCTGGCTCCTCGTAACACCTGCTGGGTTTCATTTAGGGGCACTTTGCAGTGAGCACCATCTCTTGTGTCTGCAGAGTATGGGGATAATGTCAGACCCTTTCAGAGGACAATCCCCTAAAGTGGGAGCAAACAAAATCTCAGGACAACTCCCAGGGCTACTTCACCTTGGCTCCTTGCAGTGAGGGAGCCTTGTGTAGCCCCACCCCCAGCCTGCTGGTCTCCACCCTCAGCAGGGGCTGACAGGGCTCTGCCTGGACCCCACCATGGCTCAGTCACAGCTGCCTGGCTGCTGCAGGGCTCTGCTTGCCTGCCAGGACCCTCGGGGGGGAATGTTCTCTGTCCCCTCTCTGGACACAACACTTACCAGGTCACTTGTGAACCACTTGTAATTCCTGAAACCTCTTAAAATCCAGAAAGTGAGAGAAATAGAACAATTTAATGATGGCTTCCTTGATTTACAGACAACAGAAGGACATTTATATCCATGCACAGGTACAGTGACACTGAGGGACATGTGGTGGTCTGGGACAGGAGCTGTGGTGTTCCGGTCCACTGCTCAGCCTATGTCGCGTGGTCCACCCAACTTCCTGGCTCAGCAACTGCAGACACTGGGAGAGGAGAGGACCTGGCCAGCTTCCCAAGGTGGAATGAGAGGACAGGCAGCGCAGGAAGCAGGAGTGCCCAGGCACTGCCATGCATGGGTGGATGAGGAGCCCAGGGAGAAGAGCCAAGCTCCCAGGTACCCTGAGAACCACCACAGGGTCACATCGGCACTGTTCCTGAGGGCTGGAGCCTGGCCACACTGGGGCCAAGGTATTGGGACCAGGAGGAGGCTCAGAACCACAGCAGACAGAAGCCCGTGCCGAATGCCAGGTCATGCATTCCTCCAAAACACTGAGATTCTGATGACCCAGCTCCATCTTCCAAGGGGTAAAAAAATCCCCAAGAGGTGGAGCTGAAAGGGGTGACAAAGGTAGAGCAAGGAGAGACCAATTCCATCCAAGCCTGAGGCCACCGTTGATGTCTCCATTCCTCTTTGGCCTGCCTTCCCCCTCTCCTCTACCCCGCAGACCTAAGGAGACAAGGGAGATCTGACACCCTGTCATACTCCCTAATTAAAACAGCCAAGTACAACATTTCTATAGAGAAGGAGAAGAAGGGAAAATGCCCCGGGCTTTTCAAGGGAAGACCCAGGGAAGACAGTTATGGAGTGTAGAGGAGACATGGCCCCTGGCTCTGGCCAGCCCTGCAGGCGGCAGCCATGGCCCAGGTTCCTGGTCTACCCGTGAAAGCCCATCTAGCTGAGCATCTTGTGCCGGTCGAAGACTGTCTTGCGCTGCTCCTGCACCTGCAGCTTCCACCGCTGCTGAGCACCTTCCACTCGCTCCAGGACGGTGTTGGCTCGGGGTCCACCAAGAGACGAGGCAGTGGCTGCCATGGAGCGTGCGTCCTGGAGTGGAAAAAAGGAGAGGTCTGGCACAGGGAGCCAGAGGGGCTGGGAGCTCAGGAAAGTCTGACCTCTCCAGGGCTGTGGGCTCCCTGGGGACCCTGCCTCACCACCTGTGAAAGCCAACAGGGTGCATGGCAGGATCTGCAGGATAGGGCCTCACTCCTCCTGGGGCAGGGGGAGTCTGTTCTCGGACCCCAGTTACCCCAACGCAGCTGGCCCAAGTCAGGTTCCCAGTCTGAAGCCCACAGGTCTGTCGCTACCTTTCCAGAGAACTACTAAGTGTTGACTTTGAGAGCTGCCTCAGGGAGGCAGAGCTATCCTCAGATCCGCTGTGATCAGTGACGGGACACCACACATTGGGTTCCTTTCCCTGCCAAAGAGGGGATGTGACATCACTCCCAGGGGCTGCCAGGAATGGCAATTTGGGGCTTGACCCCAGTGTTCCCATTCCAGAGCCCTCGGTGCCCCGCTCCCTCCTCTGATAGCTAGGACAGCCTGGCTCCTTTCCTGCCTGCCTCGCCATGCTCCTGCTTCCCCTTTGCTCCCAGACCTGTTCCTGTTGTCAGTCCTCCCTAATTACCACTTCTCTGCCTCTGAAGCTCCGGAGCCCATGCATTTCCTGCAGGACCCGAACCTGATCTTTGGGGGGAATTAGAGCCGAGGGCCAGGCCCACAGCCCCACGGGGATTTCCTCCCTAGCTCTCCCTGCCTCTCATCTCCTGCCATACATCTCTTAAGGGATTAGTGCACCCCACTAAGCCCAGAGCCGCCCAGTAAATGCAACTTTGCTTCTAATGCCCTGAGCTGGCACAGCTTCTGTCACCAAACAGCTGCCAGGCTGGGGAGGAGGGAAGGCAGCAAGGAGGGGCGGGACGCAGAAATGGGCTAGTAATGCAGAGGTGGCTGGCTAGAGAAGGGGCCAGGAGAGATTTCACCACATTTGCTGCACAGCTGAGCCATCTGTCATGCACACTCATCTCTAGGGTGGACACTGCCCTCTGGGACCCCAAGGACCAGGACCCTGAGGAAGGCTTTCTGGGCCAGGATAGGCGAGGCCCATGTGCTGCTGGCAGTATCAGGCAGGGGTGCACTTGGAATTAGGACCCCTGGGTTCTATGCCTAGGCCAGAGGCTACAGGTCCCTCTGGCCTCAGACTCACCCCTGCTCATCTCAGGCAGAATCACAGGTCCACACGGGGTGCCCAAAGGATGAGGCATGGCCTCCACCAGCTGGCAGCTGTGTCCCTGGACACGTCACTATTTCTCCAAGCTTCACCTTAATAAACCTAGTCTTCGAGACTCTTCCACCATAACATCCGTGGGAATTATAGTCACCTGATGATCTAGGACACACACACCCATAGAGTGAAAAAAGAAGTTTCACAAAATAGTGCTGAGTACGACGCATTATGATATTCCCTGTTCTGTTGCATTTCGGGGATTTTTGTTTATTTCTTTGTGTTTATTTTCGCAGTCCTGGAGGCTAAACCCTAAGCCTTCACTGAGCTATATTCCCATTCATTCCTTCATTGATTCATTCATTCTGGACATGGTCTCGCCCATGGCTGGGCTGGAACTGGCAATCCTCCTGCCTCAGCCTCTCAGAGTGCTGAGATTATAGATATGCGTCAACATGTCTGCTCATTTCATTTCTTAAAAATCCTGGTCACGAGTCCCAACATTCACATTATGGCCAGTGGGTTGTCATCCAGTGTGCAAAACACCGGTTTATGATTAGTGGGGCATGGCTAAGGTCAGTCACACATTAAGCACTTTGTAAACTGGCAGTCACAGAGCAGGAGCTCAAGAAATGTTTAGTTTCCTTCTTCTCCGGCAGTTTTGCCCAGTGGTTAGAAAGATGCTGGAATTGGGCCGAGGATTTAGCTCAGTGGTTCCACTGCCTGCCTCGCAAGCGCAAGGACCCGAGTTTGATCCCCGGTACCAAAAAAAATGCATGACACAGAAAGATGCTGGAATCAAACCTGACTTTGTTGGCTCTGACTCCTACCAGATAAATGACGAGCAAGTTACCTTCTTTTTTGGGGGGATACTGGGGATCGAACTCAGGTCCTTGCGTCTGTGCAGCAGGCAGCAAAACCACTGAGCTAAATCCCTGGCCCCAAGTTACCTTCTTTTCTGAACCAATTTCTCTACTTTCAGAAGAGGCAGCTTCTTAGTGAGACACAGAATGTGTAACCTTTGGCAGCACCAGGCAGGCAGGAAGCACTCCACTGACCACTGACAGCAGCAATGGTCAGTATCAATCCTAGTTCTGGGATCCACTTAGGTAGGGGAAGGGGTGCAAAGCACAGCTTGCTGCTGGGAAAGCTGCCCCTGGACAATGACTGTGACTGCTGCACAACCTCCCACCTCAACCACACCCCTGAGCCGCCCGTGCTCAGGACGTGGCTCTGCCTAGTTCCTCCTCAGTGTGGCTGTCAGGAGGAGATGCGCATGGAAAACCCGCCTGCCTGGGAAGCTGCTGGCTGCCCCGGACTTAGCCATACTGGCTCTGGGCGCCAGAAGGGCTTCTCGTCCTCCTCTTTCCCAATGTCGTCCCTCCTGGGACCAGCGCGTCCTTGCAGGGCTCAGGGAGGGGCCTGGCTGTGACCTGAGAGGCTGGGGGTGTGGTTCTGGGGGACAGGCCTGGAAGGGTGAGCGAGTGTCGGCCCGGCTTCCTCCCACTGCTCTGCTCCCAGGAAGGCAGGGGAGCCAAGAGCAGGGCATTAAGGGAATGTGCTGAAATTCACCGCATTACCGCAGCGTCATTTGTTAGCCCTTCATGTAAAGTCCTAGCAAGCAGATCCTAAGTGGGGGAAAGCCGCTGCAGAGAGGCGCCGTGCTCCCGCCGCTAATAGTCTGCTTAAAGGTATTAAGGACTCCGCATCTGTCCCACCCGGCGTGGGTCTCATCCCCGCCTGATGTGCAGCAACAATGACAGCCAGAGGCTACTGCTTCTGAGCCCTTTCCCCCTGCGGCTGGGTCTCGGGCTACTCAGGGATGCAGAGGGCAGTTAGGAGAGGGTTGGGCTCTGTAGAGTGTGGACGTGGAGGGGTTCCTCAGAGGTCTCCAGGCAACTAGGCTAGTGTGACCCTGACAAGTGACACCCTGTCCCGCCATATGCCAGGCCTGGCTTACTCCTTGGATCACAGCACTGGCAAAGGGCGCCATCATCCCCATCTGTGGATGGGGAAACTGAGGCTCTGAAGGCAGAATCATCTTGCTACCCGAGGCCACACAGCTGTGCGGGGCGGAGTCTGGACTTGAGTCTTCGGAGCTTGCCTCGAGGGCCTCCTCAGGCCCACAGAGACCCCTACGCTGTGTGGGTCACTCCTGGGCTCACGGCATCCCGGGAAACCCTCTGCAGTGCCCCAGGAACGCTGGGGCTGGGCTCGCCCCTCTGAGGCAAGCGGATGGACCTGCCCCTCCTCACTGGCCACCCTCCTCCTCGCTCCCTGGTCCCGGGAACAGAAGCAGGACCTGGCCCCCTCAACCAACCCAGACAAGCAAAGAGGGGTCCCAGTGCTAAGCCCTTTGGAGGGACGACTACACAATCTCTCTGGGTTTTCCAAGTTTCACCCCAGTCCTTCCCGCTGCAGCAAACCCTCCTGCATCTCTCTGCTTCCAGTCAACTTCCTCTGACATATCAAATAGTCCATTCCCCTGTCCCAACACTGGGGCTGGTGGCCCAGCCACGCAAAGGTGGACAGCTGCTGAGCACCGCACCCCCAGCCCTCTGAGCTGGATGACTTCCGCACTCGCCCCTGGCCTGCCCGCCGCAGGGCACTGTGTCCTTTCTCTACCTGCAGTGGCCCCTCCCCCCAAGCCCTGTACACCCTGCCCCTCAGCATTTCTCCAACAATCACCATGCTACTTACGTGTTGAGACCTGACTGAAATACCTCATCCTTAAGGATGGTCAAACACTGGTAAAGCCTCCATATGCATTAATACAGCAGCGATGCTGAGGGAGAGCAGAGCTACTTCGTCCACTCCAGACTGAGACACCTCAACTTTGAGACTGACACCCAGGACCGTGAGTGGCAGAGCTGGACTGAGAACTGGAACCTCACAGCCCTGCTCCCAACTACCATGCTGTGCTTCCCCCAATAGACACTGTGGAAATGTCTCTGAGTAGCACACCTTCTATTCTGTCCTCGGGCGAGGAGGACCCGATTGCCCTCTTCAGCATTGCCTCTCCGTGATTCACTGTCAGCCTGCACTGCCCAGGTCCTCAGCACGTAGCTGCCCACCTAGTCTCCGACAGGGCCCTCTGTGGGCCCCAGGGATCTCTTCTCCCAGGCCCACATGGCCCCAGTTCTCATCACCCTCACCATCTCTGATTCTTCTGCACACCCCTGTCCCACTGGGCTCAGAACTACACCCACTGCCCAGGAGGACGAGAACTTTGAAGGCCCTGTCAGAGCTCAGGGTGAGCAGCAGAGCCAGCCAGAGATGCAGAGAAACCCTTACTTCTGTCTCTTCAAAGAGGGCCAGACCTGTACATCTAAACAGCTCTGTTGCCGTTTCTGCCCCAGCAAACATGCTGGCTTCCTCCTTTCAAAGGGCGTCTGAGCCCAGGGATTAGTCCTAATGCTGCCGGAATCCCAGGGGAGGCAGCGCCCAGCAATCAGGCCCACTGAGGCTCTGCCAGAGCTTTCAAAGGGAGCATGACAGGCTTTCATCTCCTTTCGCGGACTCAAGCTGGGCTGAGCTGAGCTGCGGGGGAGGCCACCTCCTCCTCTGCCAGTGCTCCAGCCCCATGGCAGGAGTGCTCCTGGCTACTGGAATCGGGGAGATGGAACCAAGGAGCCCCTAGATCTGACGAGTGCTCCACCCTCCAGATCCCATCTCTGAGTGTTCTGGGCTCTCAGGGAGGGGCGGGAAGGCCTGGAGTCCAGAGTTTTCCTTCTTCAGTCACTGGCCACCAGGCTGTGCGGCTCAGGGAGCACTCAAGGAGCTGAGTGCTAAGGATGCCGATTTCCCGCTCTCTTCCTCTTGGGGTGAAAGCTAAGTCCTTCCAGCCTGGGGACACCTGGTCTTTCTTGTCTCCTTCTTAGGGAAAAACTCTAGGCCTTGCCTTTGGCACTGCTCAGCTGGGGGGCCTTGGGACCTCTCTCTGCCCTTTCCACATGTCCCTTTCCTGGGTGCACAGAGGGGGCAGTGGACTGTCCTCGCTGTCCAGGGCGAGGTGCGTTGGTCTCTGTAAGAGGAGACCCCTGGCTCTCTCCTGCCTAAGGCTGCCATCCTTCCCACTGCAATCAGCACTCCCTCTCCCATCTACCCTTCAAGCCAGCTCTGAAGTCTCCCTCTGCCGTAAGCCTGCTTCCCTGACCAGCACAAAGGGAAGGGTAACTTTGCCCTCTGCTCTCATCAAGAGGATCCTCCAAAGTACCCAGCTTCCTCACCTGACCATCCAGGTAACAAAGCCAGATCTTACCAATAACCTTTATGCTCCTGTCCATTCACCAGACTTTGGCTGTCTTGGCTGTGTCTGCACAAGTCTGAGCACAGTGCCACCTATGGGATGCCTGAATATAGCAGGAGAGAAGGGCAGCTGCTGGCCCACAGGCATGTGCAGTTGGGACACCATGCAGCATCACCCGGGGCAAGGAAATGCAGAGGTGATGCCAAACAATGGGACTAGAGAGTATTTCCTAACCCAGCCTAAGGGCACCCAGTGAGCTCCATCCTGCTCCAGCCCCCACCTAAGTGTGCCATCAGCCAGAGCTGGCTGCACCCCCAGTCGGGGTCCTGGGGAGACCGAACACAACTTTATATGACTCTTGTGAGCCTCAGGGTGGGCGCGGTGGCATCCCATCCACCCAGGGAGGACTCTCCACTACAGATGGGGTACAGGCTTGCCAGGCACCCCTTCTATGTGGTTAAGGACAGGGACTGCACCCCAAGCCAAGCCCACCTGGGAAGTTTCCACCCTCTGATTTAGGTCCTGTCTCCAGAATGAGACCGACCAAACCTAAGCCCTCCTTCCTCCAGGGCCCGCACACACAGACTCCAAGTGGGGAGCACTCAGTTCTCTTGCAGGAAAGAGAGCGGGCTCAGACCCAGAGACGGCAACTGCCCTTCCTCTGGCTCCATATCCAGGATGGCAGGAGACACAAGAAGGCTGTGCCCGAGAGCCATGCATTCCAGGGAAATCGCAGAACAGGCCATGTAATCATCGGCTGCCTCTCTCAATTACTCCTGGCCAGGGCTGCAATTAGCACATTACCCCTAATCACTGAGTGTTTATTAGCAATGTTCCTCCCTTATCAGAGGTGCTATTACTCTACATTAATAACTGGGTTGGCACGAAAGCTTTCCTCCTGAACACAGACCACCCAACTGCCAGCACCACCACCTTCCAGCCCCAGCTCCTTTGGCCAAACTCATGCCAGCAGGAGGCTGGGGACAGACTGGGAACAGTCCTGGCAAACACCCAGGAGACGCAGGAGGGCCAGAGGGAGCGGCCAGGCCCCCTCTCTTCCTCCTGACCTGTCCTTGTCCTCCCTGCCCATGCTAGTCCAGATCCAAACCACCCGGGCAGCTTCTGAGCCTGTGATTCTCTTCTGGTGGGGAACCTGCCCTTTCCTGGCCCCAATCCAGGACTTGAAAAGCTCTGAATTACGACTGCCCAAAGGCAGTTCAGCCTAAGCCTGGTTGCCTCTAGTGACCCACAACTCAGAGCCCACCCATTCCATCCTGAGACCACACTGCGTGTGCGACTCCAGCTTACACTCTCTTGTTAAACCTCCCTCTAACACCCACCTGGGTCCTTCCATCCCTGGGGCTCAGGGAGGGGTAGGCTCTGCTCTACAGATACCTGAAGGCAACTGGTATGTGCCTCTTTGACTGTGCTTAGTTTTGTTTAAGCTAAATAGCTCTATGTTTCTTCAACTAAATCTTCCAGAACATGGCTGAGGTATGTATGTCCTCGCTAGGTGCTCCTTTGACCCTGGATACACGCAAGTTGAGATCTAACACACTCACTTTGCCAATAGCCAGGAGTATCTTCCAGCGGCGAGGCCTAGGGACAGAGCTCAGCTACACAGTCTGACCCCCCAGATAGGGTTTTCAGGCTGCCTGGTGTCAGGACTCCTCATCTTCTGTATCACTTAAAGTCAAAAGCTTACAGATTGATTTTTGAGGCCTTTATTATTTCGGCCTAAACTTTCTGACCAGCTCAATCTGCTGATATTCCTGGATGCCCATCCTAACCTTGATGCTCAAATTCCTCACTCCTCTGGCTTTTATGGTCTTACCTCGGCCTCCAGCCCCTGGGCTGTGCTTTGCACAGAGCAATTACTCCATAGACTGGTGATGGTGAAGCTATTAGAGCTTTCAATGTACAACCAGCCCGTTGAGGCACACATCCCATAGGTCTGCCACCACTGCCACAGGTATCTGTGCCATTGCTGAACCACAGAATAAACCTGAGGCCTCCACGTCTACCTCTGAACCGTCACCAGGGACTGAGCGAGCAGGATATTAAGCATCTCCACCCACAGCTGGCCTTGGTTAGCTCACTTCCTTCTGCCTGGCAACGCAGCGTACCAGGGAGACACAGCTCTCTCACCTGGGCACTGAGGCTGTGCACCATGTCAGGAAATTTAGGGCCACCTGATGCTTCATCTGGATGCCCAGAGGACAGTGCCCTGCTGAGTCTGGGTGACACGAAGGAAACCTACAGCATGAGGCAGGATGGGGGACACCAGTCCCCACGAGGCCCAAGGGACGCTCTTCTGGGTTCTGCCCCAAGTACTGGAATGCTGGAACCAGGGCCCCGTTACCTCATTCTCTTCCTCATTATGCAGCTGTTCAGTGTAAGCATCTGGCTTTCGAATGAGAGGGTCCACCAGCATCAGGAAGGCCATATAGAGCAAGAGGGCCCCCACCACGGACAAGTAGATGACGATGATGACCTGGGGGAGACACAGCATGCCCTGTGAACCAACATCGGTGACCAGGACCAGAAATCCGTTCCCGGTCTTGATCTGTCTGGGCTCTGTGGATGGAGACCCCTCAAGGGCTGCACCAGGAAGGACTAGGAGGTGGCATCATGTGCAGGGCAGGAGCACCCGGAAGAGGTGGGGATGTCCCTCGCCGGTTGACCAGCCGTGTCCTACCCAAGGGAGTCCCACAGTGAGCGCTCTGACAGATGGACCGTAGAGGAGGAGGAATGCTGGAGCCTGACACCTGAGAGGCTCCCGAAGTGGGGCAAGGGAAGCAGAGCCCACCAGGCTGTAACTGGAAATGGGGCTAGAGCAACAAGGACCAGCAGGTGGCGGGCAGAGGCCAGGAAAAGTAAGCCTGGGTGTGTGGGCTCAGGCCCACTGTGCAGGGAGGGACAGACGGGCAAAACACCGTACAGTGAGGGCTGAGGCCAAGCTACTTCCCTGAGGGCAGGGGAGGGAAGGGCCACGTTAGCAGGACAATCTCTTACACACAGAGCCTTCTAAGCTGAAGAACTGTCTTACAGAAAGGACAGGTTTAATGAGGCGACTTCAGTGTTTCTCAGTGTGGTGCTCTGGGCATTTTAGGTGGGACCCTCCATGACATCTGGCCCCTGTGGTCCTTGTAATGGTGTCAGTAACACCTCTCAGTTACTGGGATCACAAAAGCATCTTCACTCATCTCAAAATGCCCCTCCGAGGGGGCTGTAATCAGCTTATTGAAAACCACAAGGCAACATAATTCACCTGAGAGCCCAAGGCTAGCTGAGATGTAACTTGAACCAGCTTTGCTGGCTTCATCTCAAATGCCTTTTTTTGGGGGGTACTGGGGATCAAACTCAGGACCTTGCTCTTCAAGGCAGGTGGCAGCACCACTGAGCTAAATCCCCAGTCCTCAGATGCCTTTTTTACGGCCACAACACTTGACCACCACTGGCTTCTGACTTGACTACAAGGTGGGATAAAAATAAAAGGAGAATCTCAGGTCTTTCCAGTTTGCTGCCCAACTTAGTCAGCACAGCCAAGTTCAGCATGCCCAACTTCCTCCCGGACTGCAGCACCAGTGTTTGTGCCTCTCTAAACAGGGTCGGAACCACACCTCTTGCCGACACCCAGGAAAGGCAAGGAGAATGGAGGTTGGGGCTGTCCAGGCTGAAGGCGGAGTGGGCTCCTAGACAGAAGGACTGGAAGGAGATTTGAGGGGTTAGGAGGTTGTGTCTTATGAGGTCCCCACACCAGCGAGTCCCTGCCCTGCCAAACGAGGAGGTGACAGCTGGCTCTGAAGTGAAGGTCTTAGGCATCTTTCCTCCGGAGGGTCGGGCCCACTGGAGCAAGCTCAGAGCTGGCGAGGGACGCTCCTGGAGGGGCCGGCCCAGGAGCAGGAGGACAGACGGAGTGTGGTCCGCACAGCTACAGGAAAATGCTGGGGCTGCAGAGGGCTGCTTCCCATGTGAGGGGTGAGAACAAGGAGGCAGGCAGGGAGGGGTGCCACAAAGCCTGCGTGCCTCACAAGCAGGAGCCTGAGGGAGGAAACAGCAGCATCTTGAAACTCATGAGGGTTATTTTCTGATGCTCTTTCTATCTTGTCAGAGAGCAAGCAAAAATAAGCTTAAAAACAGGAAAAGTGACTTCATGGGCTCTGTTCGAGTCCTGCTTGGTAGCAGGGGAAGGGACAGGAACCTTGTTATGGTATAGACCTAAGATGGCTCCCAAGCCTCACGGTTCTGTAAAGTTACTGGTCTTGGGGGGCTCACAGCTAGCCTGCTGTTAGGAGGCTTGGGGGGCTTACAGCTAGCCTGCTGTTAGGAGGCTTGGGGGGCTTACAGCTAGCCTGCTGTTAGGTGGCGTCTGGCCGGAAAAGGTAGGTCACTGGGGGTGTGGCCTGGAAAGGTCCATCTCCCTCCAGGCTCCCTTCTTCACCCTCTGCTTCCTGGCTGCTGTGATGTAGGCAGCTCCTCCTCTGCCATGCCCCTCTGGCATGCTGTTTCTTCTTGGGACCCGGCTGACCACAGACTGAAACATGAACCAAAATTAACCTCTCCTCCTTAGAGCTCTGGCTGTCAGGTACTGTGTTTCAGTGATGAGAAAGTGACTAAGACAGACTCTGTGGCATCCTGATTCCCTATGGTGGTGACTGGACTGTCGCCCAGTGCTGGTCCACAGCTCCAAGGCTTTGTCACAGAAGTCTGATATCCCCTTGGAAGTCTGATTAGACCGTAAGCTATGGGAGGGCAGGCTTTCCTCTCCACCCTGGCATGGTGTGAGGATGGCAGGCACCCAAAAGAGATACAGAAAGCACAGAAAGAGAGGAAGAGAAAAACTGGGAAGAAAGGAAGCAAAACCAGTCTCAAGCCACCCTCCCGTGACTCCCACCTGTCACTGGACGGGCGCCCCTACTAGGACAGCACAGACAGCTCTGGAAGCGTGGCCGGGGGGATGCTGCACTTGCGCAAAGCCAGCCCCGAGGGCAGCCTGCAGAATGAAGCAAAGACCGCGGGCGGGGCAGCCAGGGTGGCGGGCGGGGGCAGCGTGTCCCCGTGGGTCCGGGCAAAGGTACCTTGATGGTGGCGGTGCTGCGCTCCTCGTACCTGCACTCGCACAGCAGGCAGTAGGCCTCCACGTCGTGGCCGGGCACCGGCATGGGCTCCACCACGTGCAGGCAGTTGCTGCAAAAGACAGACCGCGGGTGGGTGGGGCCGCAGGGCGTCCTCCCCGCTTGAGGCCCAGGAAACAGGCGCCCAGGAGCAAAGGGGAGAGGGCTTCTACAGGGCAAGGTTGGCAGAAGCCCTTCCCCAGCCACAGCCTGCCAGTCCTCAGCCTGGGTCCTTCGGAAGGCGCTCGGTGACCTGGGCCTCTAGGGCCCCCACAGCCCTGCCCTCAGCTGCCCTCTCCCTTCATGCTACGCTCTCCCTAGGGGCCTCAGCCATCCAAGGTTTCGTGAAGAAGCCGATGTGTCTTGGGTACAGTCTCTTGCCAGGCCCCTCTTCTCCTCTGAGCCGGACTGCGGGATGCAGCATACCTGCACAGTGCACTCTGCCTACAGGTCCCACGTCCTGCACCCTGGCTCCACAGTCTGTGTTTGTAGCGGCAGAGGACACCTCTAGCACCCACTCCGCTGACCAAGGCAAACCCTGCAACTCATCCTTGACACTGCTTTTCCCTCATCAGTGAACCCGCCAAATGCCTTAAAATGTCTAAAATCTCTCTCTTAGCTAGGTGGCGCGCATGTGTAATCCTAGCACCTTGGAGGCTGAGGCAAGAGGACTGAAAGTCTGAGCCCCCCGGGCAATTTAGTGATGTAGTGAGACCCTGTCTCAGAAAAAAAAAAAAATTAAGGAGAGGGAGTGGCTGGGGATCCAGCTCAGTGCGAAGGCCTTAGGTTCAAGCCCCAGAGCTAAAAAGTAAAATCAAATCAAATCTATCTGTTCCATTCTCTGCTCTGCTGTCCCACCTCCAGCTTGGCCATGCCCAGTGCTACCCGTGCATGGTGGCTGGTGACTGCACCAACACGGAAGTCCCATCACATCACTTCCCAGTCTGAAATCAGGGGCCCCACGGCAAGCCAGCTAAACCGCTCTGCCGGGTCTCGATCACCTCACTCCAGCGCCACCTCGGGACCCAGCCCCACCTCTACCACTCCTCACCCATGTCGCGCCTCCAGCCAAGCGGCCTGTTCTCCGCAGCAGTCCCTCCCACACCCCTGCCAGGAATGTACAGCTTTGCCACCTGCCCTCTCTACTCTGGATTCGGCTCAAGCTCTGCCCTCTGGCCCTGTAGTCCGTGTTTAGCAGGGTGCTGGCCAGAGCAGGGCTTAGTGAAAGAGCAGCAACCAACGGCACACATGTTCTAAGAGTAAGCCCCTGCAGCCACTGTCACCTAGCAGTGCTCCTGAGCAAGGTGGGCTAACGACAGGAGGCCCTGCACTTTCAAAAGGGGAAACAAAGGTATTCAGGGTGTCACAGGCCTATCATCCCAGCCTGTAGGAGGCTGAGGCAGGAAGACCGCAAGTTCCAGGTCAGCAGGGACAACTCATCCACTGTCTCAAAATAGAATTTTAAAAAGCGCTGGGGATGTAGCTCAGGAATAAAGTGCTTATCTAGCACATGAAAGGCCCTGGGTTCTATCCCCAGGATTAGGAAAACAAAAGCAAAACAAAATAAACAACAAATAGGGTAACGAGTTCAGGAGAGCAAAACGACAAGTCCACCATGGTGGTAAAGCTAAGACCCCAGTCCAGACCCTCAGCCTCAGCACCTGCCTGCTGCCTCCCAGCCTGGGCCTGTGCTCACCCCCAGCCTCCCTCAGTGGACAGCCAGGTCCAGGCTGTCTGGACTTTGCCACCACGTGTCCATGCCCTGAGCCTGTCCTCTCAGTGGGATGTCATGACCGTACCAGAGATCCTGAAAGAGCCACACACAGCTCCCTGAAAGCAAGAGGCCAATATGAGCTACGAGGCCGGCTTTCTGGCAGAGGCAGTAAGGGTGAGGGATGCAAGGCTCCTGTGATGAAATAACAGTGGGGCCCGCTAAAGATTTTGTTCCCTCAAAAGTCCAGTGTGTGGCATCCGTGAGCTTAGTCAGACCTCCGACCATCTGTGTGCCACCTCTGGGTACAGCCACCCACACTGCTCCCCACGAGGAGTGGGTCTCCCCATTGCACCCAAAGGCTCCACTTTCAGGGATGATAGTTTCCTCGAGGAGGAACTGATGGACAGGGCCAGTTTGAATTGGTTGTTACTACAGTCCAGCGGGACTGTCACCTTCCTTTCCCTAGGACGTCTCCACAAGCTTCTGAGGGACCGGATTTATCTTGTTCCTAAGCCACTTGGGGTCCTAAGTTTGGAAGGCTGCTCTGGAGCTACCTCAGGATCTGTGATCCCCCTCTCCCAAGGCCAAGGTGCAGTGTCAGGGGCAGCAGGAAAGGCCAACTGAAGCAGGCTGTAATGGGGTAACGGGGACAGCGATAAGGAGCCTCAGTATTCCTGCACTCTGGGTCCTCCTAGGAATCGGTGAAGCCCTAAATCTCTTCTTGCTGCCCTTTTGGGGATCAGTCATAAAAGACCCCACGGACTTGTCAGCCGACATGAAGGGGAGCAGGTTAAAGAGAAAGATAAGTGGGGTTGGTTTAATTCTCTGTTCTTCTACTGCTTCTGTGATCGCAGATAATAGATCTAACTTCTCTGGACTTCGATTTCCTCATTTAGAATGGAGGCTGACTCGATCCAGGTCTTGCAAACTGCCCTTTCGGGTGGCACAGGGAACACAGCGCAGGAGGGTGACAGTGAGGAGGGGCTGAGGGACCACTCAGCCAGGGCGATTCTGATTTCTTGGTTTATACATTTTGTTTCCATAACAGATTGTGTTTGTAGATGATTTCTATATTAGCCAGGTTGAAGGCCAATAAACTAATCAACATGTTAAGTCCCTTCCTGCTCTGGGACTGTCTAACACCCTGCAGACTCACCAATGGAGCCAGACTGCCAGGGCTTCTGCCTTTTATACTCATGTGATTACAAACTCTCCACACTAGATGGCAGAACAGAAGGGGACAGTGCTCTTCAGCAGGGACCCATGTGACACGGGAATGAAAATGTGGCAGAGACCTGCAGACCCAATCAAAGTGATCTCCAATTCTGGCCCTGGCATTGAGGTGCTAGGATCAATGCCAAGGTCCTACCCCACCCTGAGGGGCTCCAGACAAGTTTGACTTCCAGACACTGCCAAGGTTGCTGGGCACCAAAATCCTGAAGTCTTCCCTGCCCACCTAGTTTCCACCCTGTTCCTTAATGGAACTCTCTTAAGGATATACGACTGTTCACCAGGCAGCTCCCTCATTTTGACTTCTAAGGGGAAGAAAGAAACTATAGCTGGAGAGATCTAGACAGGACTCTGTCCTCTGGGCATCCAAGCTTGGGTTCAGGCCGTACCAGAACCCCGGATGGTGACAGTGCTACTAAAATCTGCCAGTGCCTGCTTGTACAGGGGCAAGAGATGTAGCCTTGTTATCCAGCAGGGGCTAAAAAGACCCACTAATGTCTTTACTTTTTTTTTTTTTTTTTTGGTACTGGGGAGCGAACTCAGGTCCTTGCGCTTGCACAGGAGGCGGCAAAACCACTGAACTAAATCCCCGGCCCTAATGTCTTTACTATTTGAAATATATATAAAGATAGATAGACAGACCGACAGACAGACAGATGTATGACACTCAGGACCTTTCTAGGCCTTTATGTCTTAGGACTTTGTGAATCCACCAGGACAGTAAAAGTAGAAAAAACAGGCTAGTTCCCTGGGAGCAGCCCAAGTTCTGCAGGGCCACAGGGTAAATCTGACAATGTGGCCAGCAGGAAGGCACGATGATATACTAATAACAACAGCTAACGTTTATGCAGCACTTACTATGTGCCAGGTATTGTTCTACTAATTCAAAACATTGTCACCATTTTGCAAATATGGATATAAAAAAACAGTGGAGACTCAGTAATTTGTCACACAAGTAACAAGTGGCAAAGCTAAAGTGGAAGCCAGGCAAGCTGGATCCAGAGTCTGTCACAGATAGATCATCAGAGTTATAAATTCAACTAGTTTCAAAACTCTCAAATGTTACTCTGAATCAACTGTATCATGAGCTCCTAAGGAACTACTTTAAGAAAAAGGTTATTCCCTCTCCTCACCCATATTTGCTGAACCAGAATCTTGGGTAGGGAGGAAGGTGCTGGGAGTCCATATTTTCTCAAAGCTAGCCTGATGATCCTAATGGACAATCAAGCAGGGGCAACACCGACCAAGCCCCATTCCATATTATCCCTTCTCCAGTGACCTCATGCCATCTGTGCTCTGATCACTCCAAGGATGGGGCTTCCCAGTCGTGAAACTACCTGGAATAGAAATGTCCCCAACTCATGGTTATGGTTTCCCTGAAGCTTTCATCCATCGGCCCCAATTCTATGCCAAGAAACCACACTCAACCTACATGATCTCCACAAGTGCCCGATCCTGTATGCCCCACCTCGTCCAGCATAGCAGCCCTTCTCATGGTCTTGGGGAGCATCATGTGTTCCCAGGCCCTCTCCTCTTCAGCTTACCACTAGTTCCTTAAACCTTCCTTCCATCCAAGTTGGCTTCCTTCTTCTGATTAATTCTTGGTTATGCTATCATATTCTCTCTCTCTTTCTCTCCCTCCCTCCCTCTCTCTCAGTATTTAGGATTGAATCCAGGGCCTTCACATGGAACTATTTCCTTATTCCTTTTTTGTATCTTAGGGTCTTGCTAAATTGCTAAAGGGCTCAAGCTGGAGTTGAACTTGTGATTCTCCTGCTTCAACCTCCCAGAATGCTGGGATCACAGGCACGTACCACCTTGCCTAGCTTTTCTTTTTTAAAAGGAGGGTATAAGAAATGCTTTCAAGTCTCCAGGAGTATAATTTAAATTCTTTATTGGGGTCTCAGTCTATGCAATTATAAAATGGGAATGACCCACCCATTTCCAATTGATCTTACAAGGTTGCTATAGTACTAGCACAGAATAACAATGAGACTAGCAGAGCTTTGCAAAAACATTGAATATTGAATTGTATACAGTAAGTTCCCGATTTACGACTTATGAACATTCGAGTTAACTTTTACAGATATGAATGGACCTCAAATTACAAACCTTCATAGATGCAAATGAATCGTGGAAATAGCTCACATGTCTACCTTACCATTTTAAGTTAACTGTAAAAGTAGTTTATTTACAGTTGTACTATACTGTACCACCATCTTCAGGTAACTTAAAAGTAAAAGTAGTTTATATACAGTATTTTTGTGTGTGGGTTGAATGTTTAATGTTTTACACCGCACTATATTTGTGTCAAAGGTGTATAAGACTCGTTTTGTCAGACTTATGAAAGTTCTCCTGGAACAGAACTCATTCGTAAAATGAGGACTTACTTATGGTCAAAATACCTACCTCTTCCAACTAGGAATTCCCTTTAGGGAACAGAAGCAATCCTTGACTCACCATATTGCCTGTACCAATAAAAACCCAAATTCAAAGCAAAACAAAAAACAGTTCTCTAACCAGGAATACCTCAGTTGGAATTCAAGATTTCTAGGTCTTGTTTCTGACTGATAATGAACAAAAGTATTTCTCTATAAGAATCTCCACAGAAATGGGAGAACAAGGTTATCCTCAAGGGGATCCAAGAATACGAAAACACCCACCACTTCAATTGGGTGTAGCAGCCAAGATGCAGCCCACACCCAACACCTTACCAGTCCTTCTGGGACACATTCTGGTTGTAAATGTGCCCGCTGATGTTTCTATAAGGTGGACAGATGCATTTGCACCGGATATCTTCGGAACTCTGGAAGAGAAATCATGTATCAGGAAGGAAGGATCCTTGTTCATTTAGATCCTAGCAAGGCTAGAATTTTAGAATTCTAGCAAAGGTAGAAGTTTTAGTTCTCTCCTCAATATGCTCAAGTTCAGCAAGGTCTGCTTCTGCAAGGAGGACGTTAAATCACAGGGTCCTCAAGACAGAAACTGTACAGGTGGCAAATGAGACTCACAGAAAGCTACTTAGGGCTGCTATTCCGTAAGGGGGGCCACTTGTGGAGGATGTGTGGCAAGCCGTGACAGTCCTGTACCCTTAGGCCCCACACTTGTGGGTGTTCTTCTGTCTTCTCCTCTAATCCTATCTCTAACCTCCTAGGTTAGGTTTTGGGGAAAGAAAAGGGTAAGGGTCAATAAGGAAGTTTACAGTTCCCATGGAAATAACTCAAGCTATCCCTTTGAAAGTTCTTCCACGCTGGAATGGGTAAAAGACAGCATTACAAATATTTTTACTCCAATTAGGCATTCCCTGGAGGGAACAGCAGCAAACCTTGGAACAAAACCCTGGAGCAAACCTTGACTCGACCTTTCGAGTCAAGCCTCCATGATCTTCAGAATCTCACATCAAGCTCATGGTCCTCTGCTCCTAAGGAATGGGAGTTATCTCAGGAGTCCACCACTTAGGTGGGTACCTCTCATAACAGAAACTTCCATCTGTATAGGATTTTATCCTCAGGAAGCACTTCTGCACTGCTATGTGATTTGATTCTTCCTAAGCTGAAGAGTAGATATAACCACTACCATTTTACTCAGGAGAAGGAGGTATGGAGGACTTAGACAACTTCCCCAAACAAACTTTCTTGCTGAATTTCTATCACAAGTCAGTCTCGTGCACCACTGTACTCCTCCCTCCACCCTTAGGGAGGCCTGCAGCTTGTGCCCAAAAGGACGCCCCCCCCCCCCAGTGAATCAGGGCGCAGCTACCTCTGGGGGAGCCCTGGAGGCGGGGAGCTACTGCACGAGGTGCTGCAGGCTCACCTCCCTCACCTTGTAGGCTTGAGCTGGGGGCACCAGCAAGCACCCGGCAACAGCCACCAGAGATAGGAGCTTCATGCTTATCAGGCTTGCTAGGCTAGTAAGACCAGACACCTGAAGAAAAAAAAAAAAAAAAAGAGCCATGGAGCTGGAGGAGAAAGTAGCCTGAATCGTCTAGCCAGATCGTGGAAATACAGCTGGGCTCCAAGACACCAGGGCCTCTTAAAATGGGTCGCCAAACGCGCCTTTCCCTCTCCCCCAAGTCTCCCGCTCTCCACTGGCCACTCGGTGCATCCCGCAGGGCGGGCTTCCCGGGGTTACGGCCGCCAGGAGCCCCCCGGATGTTCCGGCAGGGTCTGGCTCTGACCCTCGCGGCGATTCCCACCGTCCTCCGCCATCTCCGCCTCCGCAGCCTGGCAGCTCCTCCCCGCTCCAGCCCAACAGAAACGCCAGGTGCAGGGTCTGGGGTCCCTAATCCGACAACAAAGGCCTCCGGCACCCTCTCCCAGGGACGTGGGGCCTGGGCGGGAACCCCGATATCCCTTCTGCCCCCGCACCCCTCCCCAAAGCGTCGTCCACAAACCTCCAAGGCCAGCCGCAGCTGCAGCTGCACCAGACCCAGCAGACCCCGCCCCTCCCAGCTTCTATTGGCTGGCCAAGCAGCCTCTCAGAACAACCTCGCTATCGCCAAGGCAACAAGACCCACCTTCACCTCGGCTAAGGGACTTCCGTTTAAGGGATAGGCAGGCATTTCTCCAACCCGACCAAGCAAGAAAAGGGAATAGCAAGTATATCTCAAACCCGACCAAGCAAGAAAAAGGAGCAGCAGCCTTGCAAACTTGGCGTGACATTAGAACCCCTTGTGCAGTGCAGTGCTTCACCCTTCCTGTGTTACAACACTCACCTTGTTCCATCTTGCTGGCTTTTGTTTGTTTTTTGGTACCGGGGATTTAACTGGGGACCTTGAGCTTGTGAGGCAGGCGGCAGGACCACTGAACTAAATCCCCGGCCCCATCTTGCTGTCTTTTCAAAAAATTAAATATTTATTGAACAAATGCAGAATAAATGATCTAAGAGGTTTTTAAAATCTGAAAATACAATAACTTCAAATATTCAGAGGCTGGGATATAAAACATGAAAGACTTGTTCAACATTTCTTCAAAAGGCAGAACTTTAAACAAAGGAAAATATGAGCAACCGATAGGGTGCAGAAAAGGGGTACAAAGTCCATTACTTATTTTAGTAGCTTCTCTCCCCACATAATGCATTCCACACTTGTCTCTTCTTCTGAAAGGAGATATTAGAACTTAATACTTCTCGTGGACATCAGTAAGTCGCATTTTCAGGACAACCTCTCCTCTGGTAGCAATGGATACACTCATACTATTGGGAAAAATCTAATAGTAATAAACTAGTGTACTTAGGAAATGGTTTATTTGTTCCTCAGCTACATTTCACTATTCTACCTTAGTGATTCTAAGGATTGAGGGGCTTATTCTGCAGAGCAATCCTGGTAATTCAGGTACTGCCCTTGGGGACAGTCTTCTCCAACCTCCAAGGGTATGTTGCATGTGCTGTGATGGAGTAGACTTGGGGAGTAGACCATGGACAGCCATGGTTCTATATGAGGCAGGAGAGCTTCTTCAGAAGTCACTAGGAAATATAAACTAACCGCATAAAACTGACAGCTCCAACCAAATTGCTACATATCACAAAATAAGAATTGCCTCAACTATTCAGCATGTTTAAGGACAAAATGTTTAAAGCCAAAATATATATAATACGCTTTATATTATACATGCATTTTATCACATAGGACTGCTGAGGTGTTTAATCCATCCAGTAAACTGAAAATGAAAATTTTGGCTTTCTCTGATTGTTGCTGTACAGGATTCTGAATGTGGCTCTTGAACTCAATAATAAGTCAGTTTTCAAGGAAAGCCACATAATCAGTCAGCCTGGCTAACTGCCGTTCACTGGGGATTGGCGGAACAGGGTCAGGCTCTGACAAGGGAATAAAACTGTTAAATGAAACGTCTAGGGCCTCTACGACAGGCTTTCTAGACAGAACAGTTTCTCGCGTCAGAGTCAGCTTACCATCCTTGTTCTAATATACCTTACACAGCTTCTTTTACGAGGAGTCCAGCCCAGACTGCAAAATCACCTGTGATTAGCGAGGTGTATGCTTGAGAAACCTGGTCCAAGGTGCCTCTCATTGTGGAGTCTCTTAAGCGCTTCCGTGATTGGCTGGAGTGTCTCAGGTCACTGGTGGGCGTTGATGGTCCTGTAGATCCCAGGGAAATCTGCCAAATTCTTTGTCCTGCTGACCGAATTCACCCACGTTAAGAATTTGTAGATTTTATAGCAGTTGGTAGCCTTTTCCAAAGATGCCTTGCATTATTCATGTCATTGCGGAGCAATTATAAAGCTAGAAGTTGATCATACACTAAGGGGATGCAGCAATTCCTCCAGGAGCCCTGAACTCCTGGTTCTCCTATTGATCCAGCAACTTTTTAAAACTGAAAGCATTTTCCACCATCATTTCCGCCCCTGGCATCTTCCCACCTGCTGAAGCTGCTGCTCCTTTCAGAGGGTCAGAACCCAGCCTGCCCCTCTGGGCTTTACTTCTTTTGCTGTCTTAAAGAGGAAGCACTTTACAAACAATAAACTCTTAGCGATGGTCATGTTAAAAAGAGATTAAGGTGCTTGGTCCTCATTCACAGTCTGGAAATGTTTTTTGGGATCCAATGGTTTATCTTAGTGTTACCACATTTTGGGGTGGTGGAGTCTTCTTGTGGAGGTTGTTTCTAGATTCTTTCTGTCCTGAGCAAAGAATTGGTCAAGACAAGCACAAATGGTAGTAGTTTTATTAAAGATAACAAAAGAAACAAGCTCTGCAGAGCGAGTGTGGACCAAGTAAAAGGAAAAGAAGCACACCCTACAGTGTGAGGGCGGCCACCATGGAAGAGAGTGGCAAAAATTCAACGTGGACTGTCCTTTCGTATCGCCCACTCCTCAGGCTGACGTCAGGTCCAGGCAATCCTGTGGAAAACCTGCTTGAGTTCTCAAGAGAAGTCCTCATGCAGGGCTTTGGAAACTGTTCTGTGCATGTGTTCTGGGATCTGGTCATGCCTCCTTTCCTAGGCTGTTTTAGCCACATCCTCCCTCCCTGTCTCATTGAGCTGTGGAGGATTTTGGGGGCAATGCCTCTACCCCTATATATGTAGACACACAGGCACATGGACACACCTGAAAAGGAGAAAATGGGGACAGCTTTGTCCCCCATGCCATGTGCTGGCTAGGCCTGGCCAATTGGGGCAAGGTGTTCAAGGCCAGGCTGCAGGGGTCGGGGAAGCAGGTCCTGTTGTGCCCAGATTACGAAGTCCCAAAGACCACCAGGAGTCCGTTTCCGATGTAAGCACATGAGGGTCGTTTATTCAAGCTTAAGCAGGGACTCTCAATTGTCACCAACACAGCAGATCGAGATTGAGAGCCCCGAGTTCCAAATTAGCAGGGTTTTTATTGAGATTACAGCAAGC